TCAGAAAGGTATAAAGTTATGCAATATCCTTGAACTTACCGGCAAGCCAGACCCTCGCCATCGTTGAGCTGCGGTGGCGAAGCAGTTCGCTCAGGACGCAACATCCGGCAGGTGACCCTTGTAGGGGCACTTGCGGCACTGGGAGGCACCAGGATGCGGAGACCCGCGTGTCGGCTGCCACGCATCGATCCGCCACGTGCGTCGACGAGGAAAGAAACCAAAAAGCTGAAAGGCAACCGAGGAGAATTTATGTATATGTGCTTTTTTCAGTTATATTCTACAACTACGGCACACCATGCCTTCATGATTATCGATTATCAGCAGTCTGGTAAAAGTTGGGTTTCTTGGATCCAAAACTCGTGTTTTCATGGATAACCAGCATGAAAGGCAGTCATTTCAAAGGAGAACTTATAGTAGGTGGCCTAACTCACGGAATGTAATGATTGAAAATCGAGACCCTTCATTGTAGGCGTCTATAAGGTTGTGCATTTTATTTATCTCTCTATCTCGTTGCGAAAAACGCCCATTTTGCATGCAAAATACATTTGTAATTTACGAGTAAAAACGTCGATAAACCTAAGCAGGAATCAGGGTTGCCCTATATTAGGGCAATTTCCTATGGTAATAGGTCTTCCAGACTTATTTTGTGCATCTCGGCTTGTTTTTCTGTTAAGAAGAGCAATTCAACCTTCAGATTTACCAAAAAAGACTTCCCACACTTGAAAAGTGCTTTATACTGAGTAAACCGTGAGGAAGAGTTTGCGAACAAACTGATTCTTTTTAAAAAGAGACGTTTTATTGATTTTTACACAGAAGACTCGCAAATCTGTAAGTTCATGTTCGAAGGTACAGTAAAATGACTGCAGACAATCCCTCGATTCAATGCGCCCGTATTTTCCTAACGTTTGCAAAGGCATCATAAAAAAGAGCAAAACTGGCCGCTATCCAATGGTCATTTAAAATTTTGAATATATGGAAAGATGTCGCATTAATGCACACCTTAAATAGCTTATTTGTTAGAGA